GTTCTTGGGGGGAGAGCCTTCAGCAGCTCAACGGCGTGAGACTGGAGGAGGAGGGAGGAGGAGAGGAGGAGGAGGAGGAGGGAGGAGGAGGGAGGAGGAGGAGGAGGAGGAGGAGGAGGAGGAGGAGGAGGAGGAGGAGGAGGAGGAGGAGGAGGAGGAGGAGGAGAGCGCCCCCCTACTGCGTGATGACTGCTGTGATGCCGAGTCCGACCGCCCACCGCCGCTCTCTCCTTCCCCCTTCCGCGGGCGGCGCGGCCGCCCCCCCGCCCGCTCCGATGAGGCCTCCTCGCCCGCCGGCCCGGACCGGCCGCTGCAGTTATCGGGCAGGCTGATGCCCGGCCTGCCGCAGGCCTCGCCGCCGCCCGCCGCCCGCCTCTATCGCCGTCGTCGTTGACCGTCGTCGTCGTCGTCGTCGTCGTCGTCGTCGTCGTCGTCGACGTTGTCGTCGTCGTCATCTTGGTCGTGGTCGTGGTCGTGGTCGTGGTCGTGGTCGTGGTCGTCGTCGTCGTCGTCGTCGTCGTCGTCGTCGTCGTTGTGGTCATGGTCGTGGTCGTGGTCGTCGTGGTGGTGTTACAGTGATGGTGGTTGTGGTGGTCGTCGTCTCTCTCCTTGTCCTCATCTTCCTCCTCCTCCTCGTCCTTTCCCTCTCTCTGTCTTCCTCAACCCTCTCTGTCTCTCTGCCTCTCTGTCTCTCTGTCCCTCTGTCTCCCTGCTTCTCTGCCTCTTTCTCTGTCTTTCGCTGTCTCTCAGTATCTCTGTTTGTCGGTCTTTCCTTCTGTCTGTCTGTCTGGCTGACTGTCTGACTGTCTGTCTGTCCGTCCGTCCGTCCGTCCGTCCGTCCGTCAGTCCGTCCGTCCGTCTGTCTGTCTGTCTGTCTGCCTGTCTCTCCTCATGTCGAAGGTCGTAGAGCTGCCCTCTTGCCAGCGGCAGGGACGAGAGTGGCAGGGCCTTGGTCGGCTTCTAGAGCTCCGCCGCCTCATCCCATAGCTGTTGCACGCCTCGCGACCTCGCACGTCCTGACACAAACTGGGGGATCGTGCAGCATGTGTAAAGGCTCGGCTACGAAGGCTTTTTTTGGGCCCGAATGGGGGGAAAAATGAGTGCTTCAAATTCTTTTCCGTGAATGGTAGTGAGTCCGAGTTTCCAGAGGACGGAGTTTACAGCTAGCTGGTGGTTGGACTCATTCCTCACACGCCTTAACTGGTTTATCTGGTACTGCGGCACATTCGTTTTTTTCTCGGTCAGGCCCAGCTCAGGTGTCTGGGGAAGCCGTGCCGTCTACTGATCTCAAAGACCCGTCGATCATACCTCGATCGGATATCGAGGGATCTGTTTCCCAGAACAGTCTCAGCCTGGTTGAATCACTACGTGATGGCGGACATCCTGGAAATCCTTCTCCTCTCCTTCTTCTCCCCTCCCGCCCATTCTTCATTTCCAACTTCCGCTAACTTCCTCACATGCTCCTCCCTCTCCTCTCCCATGGCGCAGCTCATCCTCCTGCTGCCACCGCTCTTTCCCCCTCCCTTCCCTCGTGGTCCTGCACATTATCTTCGATCCGTTTCCATTCCCTGTTCAAAGCAAATTCGGTGCTGCCCAGGGGCGGCTCCGATCGCGCGCTTCCTGAATGCCCCCAGCAACGCCTCAGGAGGATGATGAGGAGGCGGGAAGTTATCATGCTGGTGATATGATGGTGAATATGTTGAGGACGAGGATGCGGGAGAAGGAGGAGGTGGAGGAGGAGGAGGGATGACCAGTGTAAACCCAAGAGTCATCAACCATGTTGGAATTAACCCTCCTTCCAAGCTTCCTCTTCATAGGCCCTTACAACGTTTCATTTCCATTGAGGGAGCTGCCTCGTTGGAAGACAACCGAATGAAGACCTTGAAGCATGCCAAAACATTGTTCTTGGGATTTCCACTCCACGGATCAACCTGACTGCTGCGTCTTGACGATCTGCGGTCGTGCCAGAACGGCATTCTTGGGACTTCAACACCGCGAATCAACATAACTGTTGCACCCGCATGATCTTGAACCCGTCCAAAACACCATGTCTGGTACGTTGATCATGGGAATCCATGAAACTCATGCTACTTTGAAAAAAAAGAAGGTGCGCGGCGCTAAGGCGAGAGGGGCATTTTGAAGAGGAGCCGCCCTCAAATCGTGAAACACTTGCACATTTGTAAACGAATGTGCGCGGCGCGAAGGCGAGAGCCACATTTTGAAAACCGCCCGCCCTCCATCTGTGAAGCTGTTGTAATTTTTAAGGCTTCAGAGTCGTGCGCGGCGAGGAAATCTCAGGCGAAACGCCCGGCCCGCCCTAAAACGTTTCGGGGTGCGACACGGAGAAGTTGTGTACAAGGAAGAGGAATGGAGGAGGAGGAGGAGGAGGAGGAGGAGGAGGGATGACCAGTGTAAGCCCAAGAGTCATCAACCATGTTGGAATTAACCCTCCTTCCAAGCTTCCTCTTCATAGGCCCCATACAATGGTTCATTTCCATTGAGGGAGCTGCCTCGTTGGAAGACAACCGTTTGAAGACCTTGAAGCATGCCAAAACATTGTTCTTGGGATTTACACTCCACGGATCAACCTGACTGCTGCGTCTTGACGATCTGGAATCGTGCCAGAACGGCATTCTTGGGACTTCAGCACCGCGAGTCAACATAACTGCTGCGCCCGCATAATCTTGAACCCGTCTAAAACACAATGCCTGCTACGTTGATCATGAGAATCCATGAAACTCATGCAAATGTGTAAAAAAGAAGGTGCGCGGCGCTAAGGCGAGAGCTGCATTTTGAAAACGACCCGCCCTCAATCCGTGAAACCCTTTGCATTTTTTTAGACGAATGTGCGCGGCGCTAAGGCGATAGCCACATATTGAAAACGACCCGCCCTCAATCCGTGAAGCCCTTGCAAATTTGTACAACAAATGTGCGCGGCGCTAAGGCGAGATCCACATTTTGAAAACGAGCCGCCCTCAATCCGTGAAACCCTTCTATTTTTCCAAACGATTGTGTGCGGCGCTAAGGCGAGAGCCACATTCTGAAAACCACCCGCCCTCAATCCGTGAAGCTCTTGGCACATTTTTGATACGAATGTGCGCAGCGCTAAGGCGAGATCCACATTTTGAAAACCACCCGCCCTCCATCTGTGAAACTGCTGCCCTTCTTTAAGCTTCAGAGTCATAAATGGTGAAGAAGTCTCAGGCGAACCACCCGGCCCGCCCTAAAAACTGGCCTCGGGGTGCGACAAGGAGAAGTTATTTATGAGGAAAAGGAATGGAGGATAAGGGAGTTGGAGGATGATGATTTTGAGGAGGAGAGGCAGGACTTCGGAGGGAGGATAATGAGATGGGACAACCATGGAGGGAGGCGGGAGTGAGAGGGTATGCTTCTGGGGAGGGTCTCGAGCGCGTCGCGCCAGCCCACCTCGCTCAGCTTCGGTGGCACTGGCATCAAGCAGATGGACCCCGTTGCACGCTGTCTTGACGCCAGTCCTTCTCGCCCTCCATCCCGCCTCCCTCCCTTCTCCCCCCCATCATCGTCGTCACGTTCGTCGTCATCATCGTTAATGTCTTTGGTGTCGTCGTCATTGGGGAACGTTTTGGCTCAAATTGTTTTGGCTTGGGCATGCCGCGGTAACGCGTGGGCAGCTGGGCAGGCTCCGATTTTCCGTCCCGCCATACTCTGGGCCAAGCACCCCGCGAACCGGATGATCCTGACCAACGAAAACATGTTTGTCAAACTGAGGCTTCAGCGTGGTCTCACCTACAGACAGCCACGTACGGGTTATCTATGTGCGCGGTGACGCAGCAGCAATGCATGAAGATTCCTCTCGCTTCGCGGGGTGCACGTCCGGAGCACGCAAAGGCTCGGCGTTGTGTGGTCTCCCCTGCTCGTCTGCCTCGCTGGTCTGCCGTGTCGTTCTGCCCACCCCAGGGCGTTGCCAGCGCCACGGGGGCGGATGCGCCCTCCCCCCCGTTTCAGCGCTGGGACGAGCGTGCGAATGTCCACGAAGCGCTGAGCATTTACCGCGTGCCAGCACAAGGCAACGCTAAGTTCAAATTCGGATGAGCATACTAACAGCTCGCCGTTCGTATACAATTGCGGGGGCCTTTTGGTGATCTTTTGGGGCCTCTCGGGGGCCTCCTCGGGGCTTCTTTGGTTGGGGACCTCCATGGGCCTATTGGGGGTCTCTTGGGTGCCTCTTGGAGGCGCCTTGGGCCGTCTTGGGGCGCTCTTGGGCCGTCTGGCTCCGTCGGAGGCCACCGGGCGGACCTCTCGGGGCCGGCTTGGGGCTCGCCTCGAGTGCTCTTTGGCCGTCTTGGGGGCTTCTTGGACCGTCTTGGTGACCTGTGGGCAATCTTGGGGCCCTTTTGGGTTGTCTCGAGGGCCTCTTGGGGGCAGCTGGGGCCGTCTTGGGACCGTCTCAGAGGCTGCTTGGGCCGCCATGGGCCCCTGGGAGTTGAAAAAGGCGAGAACGCTAAACTTGTTTGAAAACCACTGGGAAATCATTGTTTTTGGCCTCCAGACACCCTCTTGGGGGTCCTCTTGGGGCCATCTTGTTCCGTCTTGGGGGCCCGATTTCCCCTTGCTGCCTCTTGCCCTCTGGTTTGTCCCCACCCTGTGCTTCTTCGTTCCCCCTTCCGCCTCCTCTGCTGGCGACAGTGCGAGGCGTGTAATGAGTTTCCTTCCCAATTCGGGGCAGGTCCCGAGGCGCTTCCAGCTGGCCGCTCCAGCTACTTGTTGCGCCCCTGTCCTGGTGCCCCCCCCACTGCGTGTCTTCAAATGCCTTTTCGTTCAGGTTCAGATGCCTGCTGGCCGAGGCGGTGGGTTCGGGTTTTCTGAGTCCCCCACTGTGCACTGCATCTCTCCGCGCTGCTTTTAGTCCCATCGTCGACGATGCTCACTCGATGCGGCGCCGAAGGGCCGCAGGGAACGTGGCCCGAAGAGCCCCGAGGGGGCGAAACGCGTGAAATGAGACGAACAGGGGCTGTCCATTGGAACCCAACAGACATGTGAGTTCACTAGGCAAGATTGCCTAAGCCAGCCTCAGAACTTGATTGGGGTTGAGAAGGGGCAGCGCCAAGCGATACTGGGAAAGCTGGCCAGGCTGATGGAAGTCCACGACGCGCTTGAACATGATGACGAAGGTGTGTGTGTGTGATTCATAAGTACGTGCCCATCATGCTGTCGAAGAAGCACGAGCCTGGAGAACTGCGTCGGCACCAAAGGGAAGTTTGACTGACCATGGCGACACAACGAAATATATTACATGGCACAACATGTGCAGCGCCCAAGCTGCATTCGCGTGCACAGAAAACCGTATCGCAACTGAGCAGGCACCACAATTCAACGGATTGTGGGTTTGCCACCCGTCGTCTTACCGCGGCCAGCATCGGAAGGCGTGGCCCTGGGAACAGCAGCGGGCTGGCTCTGGTACATCCTCGCCGATGAACGAGAAGCCATTCTTCTGGTGCGCAAGGTGTGGCATTTGGACTCGTCATCAAGTACACCATCAGCTCCGTCACGTGCGGGGATCTCACATAGAGGCAGTCCTGCTGGCTTCGTAGGCGAATCAGCACCAGCTGCAGGACTTGGTGACGCAAGAGCGGGCGCTGCGGCCCAAGATCCGCGCTTCGGCCAGCTTTGCTACCTTCAGAAGGAGAAACACATTCAGGAGGCAAATCTCGTGAGCTCGCGCGGCACTGGCCTTAGTTTGCTTGGCTGCCTTGCGGCGCTCTTTCTTCGCGAAGGTTTAGCGCGACGCGCAGCACGGAGTGCAGGGTCGTCGGGCTCCGTGCTGGCGCTCTGTGCGCCAGCGGCAGCACGCTCGGGACGCGTGTGAGGCACGGCGTCAGCAGCCGGGCGCACCAAGACGCCTGCCGCCACGACCGCCTGCACTGTCTTGCGCGAACAGCTGTCGCCAACAGGGTGGCGCTATCAGCGGACATGGCTCCTATACGCTGCCTTGGGGGAAAAGCAACGACAGCAATCGCTTGAGCCAAAGCCTTTGGGGGCGAAGCGCGTAGGCTTTCTGTCTTCGCTTGAGACTCAATCCAAAATAGCTGCCCCTTCCTGTGTGCCCTCAAGTGCTTGATCGCTCGGACGCCCGCTGGCCGAGGCGGTGCTGCGGTCGCTGCGACAGCAGGGCTCCAGACCAGACCAGGTCTTTGGGACCGTGGCGGGATCGCTGCGGGCTCGGCGCGGCGGCGGCGCGGGCGCGGGCGGTCAGTCATGGATGGTCCTCTCGGCTAGTCTCCGATCCCCCGTGTGTTTGTTTCAAATCGAGTCTCAAGCGATCAGATGGTCCTGCCTCTCCCCTTCTTTCTGATGGCCTTCAGCCTCACGTTGAGGCCATTCCACATCTAGCGGGTGCAGTGGGCCAAAGCGCAGACCTCGCGGGGACTTTTGCTGCATAGCCATTTGGCACCTGCTCTACGTCTGAGCCGCCCTCGTTCACCCCCACATCCTGGATGTGCCCCCTCTCCTCTGATCAGGCCGCTGCCGGTTCAGCTCCGCCCTCCTTGGCGGGCACGCCTGCGACGGGCTGAGACAGCAGATGAGGCGAGTTCTTGCCACACTCTGGGGAGACCTCTTGCAGTGCCATCTGTTCCAGCCCCAGGTCATTCACAATCTCGGGCGGATCCGAAGGGCGCTTCGGCAGGGAAGCCGCCCTGTGGCCGTGGTGAAGGTGCCGGCGGTTATAAAACCAGCCGGCCTGAGCCTTACACGGGACAGAGAACGATATAGTTTGTTCACTTTTCTGTTTGTGCAGCAGCCATCCATGCTGCCGCTTCCTTGCGTGTTCAAGTATCCAGTTGGGTGGCTGCATACGTCGAGCATTATGTACAGCTCTTGTGTCTTGTATTCCATATTCTTGATGCAGTGCATCTTCTGTAGATTTTTTCTTTTGCGGCTCCGTGTTCCGACTGCGAACCCCTCTTAGGCAGCGTTTGGCTACGACGCGTCTCAGTCGTTTGTTTTTCCAGAGGTCAGGCAGCCCCTTATTAAATCATCCATACACGCGTTTCGCCCTCTAGGGGCTCTTCGGACCGAATCGCCCACGTTTCCCCCCATCCCTCCCCCCTTGCTTCCTACCTCCTCTTGCTCCACCGCCCTTCAGCCATATCCTCATCCCCCTCCTCATTCCCTTCGCCCTCCTTCTCCCTGTGAGGGGGTGGGGGATGGGGGGGAACAGGGGTGAGGGGCGGGACGTAGGGAACGAGGATGGGGACAGGTGGTCGGGAGGGGGAGGAGGAATGCGGTGATGAGGTGGAAGGGGAGGAGGAGGAGGAGGAGGAGGAGGAGGAGGAGGAGGAGGAGGAGGAGGAGGAGGAGGAGGAGGAGGAGGAGAAGGAGGATGAGGACGAGGAGGAGGAGGAGGAGGAGGAGGGAGGAGGAGGGGCAGGAGGAGGAGGAGGAACATGGGGGAGTAGGAGGGGGGACGACACTGACGAAACGGACAAGGAGTTGGAGTGTGTTGAGCATCTTGGCTATCACTACTAGTATGCTGCTGGTGATGAAGACGGCGATCATGACAGCATGTGTTTTTCGATTTTCTTCTTGGCGCTTTCTTGGGTGGCATCCAGAACGGTCTACGGAGCAAGCTCACTGAACAACTCATGGTTGTCCAGCTCTTTGTTCAACAGCAGGCGTTTCGCTCGAGACGTCGCCAAACACCGACGTCGGATGAGACTTGGAGAATCCGCGAGCAACGACATGCAAACACTCTGCAAGGGCATCCCCAGACAACCACGAATCACAACACACGCGCGCATACACACAGCGCATCATACGCTCTGCGAACGACCACGGGCAAACACTAAACCGAGGTGGTCACGGGCAAAAACGAACCACACGCAACCACATGAAAGCCACGCATCACGGCTTCCGCAAGAAGAGGCAGGCAACCATTCAACCAATGCAGCCACAGGTACACCATTCAACACTTGCAGCCACTCGCGCACCATCATGTACTGCACGCATCGCGAGTATTGACAGACAACCGCTCAACCAATGCAGCTCCTTGTTCATCCTCCCTACTTCTCCTCAACTCCTCCTCGGTCAAAGTTGTCGGCCGTAGCTGTAGCGCTCCCCCTGGGGTACCAGGAGACGGTTCGAGAGGCGGCGTGGCAACCCCTTTGGGGTGCGATCCGTATATCCATGCGTGTTACGTTGTCGTCGTTAGGGGATCGTGTGTCCCTAGTCCCCCCCCGCGGACGTTCGGGGAACTAGCGCAGGTGGCCTGCGATCTTGATATTGTTGCACGCTCTTGCACAGGCTGGGAGAAGGATGCTAGTGACGATGAGGGGGGACATGTGGAGAAGGCGGCAGATGAGCGAGACGGGCTTGAGGATAGTAGGACGCGGAAGAGGAGCAGGATGAGGATGATATTTCTCATGTTTGCTTGGATACTGTTGACGATTAGGAGACTGACCATGAGAAGGAGGATGACCAGAGCAAACCCAAGATGCATCAACGATGCTGCCATACGTCCGCCCGTCGCAAACCCCCTTCAACAGTTCCTGTTCACTTCGGGCAGTGCCCCTCTTGCCAGACGAACTCCTGGTCGTACACTTCAGGCGAGCGCCCCGGTTTGAACATGACTTGCCATCCATGTTTCTCGCTATAAGGACATCGATGAGACAGGATCAAGTTCAAGAGCGTGACCAGCGAGCGCACCGCTTTGTACAAGAACCGCCTTCGATCCGCACCGTTTGTCTCACATCTCAAGCCTCCTGCCATAGAAATAGGGGGAAACTTTGAGCAATCAGGCGGACATGGGCTCATTCGAAGTAGCAGGGGGGGGGAAGACGTTGCCGTCGGCGGCGCAGGACATCGGCTTGGAGCACGCCGCTTTCGTGACCTTCCGCGGGCAGGCTCCCTTCCCCCCCTGGCGGCTCGCCCGATGGATACCATTCTGGCTCACCGCGTCGTCGGCGCTGCCGCCGCGGCCGCGGAGCCGCTGCCGTCGTCGCCGCTGCCGACCTGGCCACCGCCATCGCCATCGTCGTCGCCATCATCGTCGTCGTCGTCGTCGTCGTCGTCGGCGTCGGCGTCAGCGTCGGCATCGGCGTCGGCATCGGCATCGGCGTCGGCGTCGTCTTCGTTTCCACGAGTTCAATATTTTCTGGTGCCTCTGGGGCGGCCCTCGTCGCCACGGCTGGGTCCGTTTCGAAATCCTGGCATCGTCACTGCCGCGCGCGCCCCGCGTCGCTGGGTGCCTCTGCTCGGGCCCGCGAGCCAGGAGACCGCGGGTCCATGCTGGCGGGTTTTGCAGCCCAGACGCTGACATTTCAGGAGGGGCTCCTGCTCTCAGGCCGTTGTTCAGGTCTAGCACTGAGTGTCAGTATCGTTCAATCGATCCCTGTCCCCATCCCCACCCCCATCCAGACGCCCACCATCCTCAGCACCCCAGTTGGGGACATACCCTTCGAAACCCGAAGGAAACGGCCTGTATATCCCCATCGAGGGGAGTCCTTCGGCCAGCGGAGCCCAGGCCACGCTCATGGGAACAGGGGTCGGTTGTAAACGATGCTCGGAGTGCCTTTCCGTGGCCGAGGCCTCGCTGTGGCCAGAAAAGTCCCTTGGTTCCCAGTTCGGCGGCCCCTCAGCGTATAAGCACGATCACCGCGCCCCTCCGCCCCGCGCGCTCTGTGTTTCCCGCCTACAACTGGGGGGAGCGAAGGGGTGGCGTGTGGAGGAGGAGGAGGAGGAGGAGGAGGAGGAGGAGGAGGAGGAGGAGGAGGAGGAGGCCCGGGTGGTCGGGAAGTGGCCCAGCTTGCCAGTTTTATTGGAGAGGGGAGGGGGGTGCCAGGGGGAGGGAGGTGAGGGATCAATGTTTTTGGGCGGTGTTGGTTCTTGTTGGGCTATTGGAGGCCTTCCGAGGCCTCCAGAAGAGACGCCTGGTTACATCCAGAGAGCTCTGGGGGGCGGGGAAAAGTAACCGCCGCCGCTCATATGAACGATGTGTGTTGCCCACTGATGCCCTTGCCTCCTCCCTTTTCGGCGCATCCTTAGCCAGTTTCTGTGGCCATCGCCCAGTTAACGCTGCAACTTGGTCGCCCAAGGGCATCTTTACCCTGCGTTCTTGTGATGTGTAGTGGCCGTGTAGACCACCAGGCCTCTGCAGGTTCCCTCCGCATGCCCTCTTCCCTCCCTCCCTTCCGTCATTCCCTCCCTCTTCCCTCTTCCCTCCCTCTCTTCCCTCATTCCCCCCTCTTCCCTCCCTCCCTCCCTCCCTCTCCCCCATATGGCCTCCCTCCCTTCCGGCACTCTCCCCCCTCTCCCCTCCCTCCCTTCCATCATTCCCTTCCTCAAGTTCCCCTCTCCCGTTCTTCAATGCCACCGCCCTTCCCTCCTCCTCAGCCACCTCTGCTCTCTCTCCTCCTCCCCCTCCCCCTCCTTCTCCTCCCCCTTCCCCTCCACCTCCTCCCTCCTCTCTCTTCCTCCTCCCCCTCCTTCCTTCTCTCCCCTCCCTCCCCCCTCCTCCCCTCCTCCTCCTCCTCTCCTCCTCCTCCTCCTCCCTCCTCCTCCTCCTCTCTCCTCCTCCCTCCTCCTCCTACTCGCCCCCGTGCCCCTCCGCCTCCTCCTCATCCTCCTCCTCCTTTTCCTTCTCCTCCATCTCCTCCTCCTCTCCTTCTTCTCCTTCTCCTCCTCCTCTCCTCCCTACTCCTTTTCCTCCTCCTCCTTCCCCTCCTCCTCCTCCTCCTCCTGCTCCTCCTCCTCCTCCCCCTCCTCCTCCTCCTCCCTCTCCTCCTCCTCCTCCTCCTCTTTTACTCCTCTTTACTCCTCCCTCCTCCTCCTCCTCCTCCTCCTCCTCCTCCTCCTCCTCCCCCTTCCCCTCCTCCTCCTCCTCCTGCTCCTCCTCCTCCTCTTTATCCTCTCTCTTTTTCCTCCCGTCCTCCTTCCCATCCTTCCCGTCCCTCCATCTAATAAGGTGCGGGTCTGATGCGCATGTACGTTTCGGGTAGCAGCGCTCCAGCGGGAGCGCGAGACGCTGCTTTCGGTCCCCAGGCTGGCACGGCTGTCTTCACTCTGAGCCAGAGTCTCTTCCCCCTTCGCTCGCCCAGATTCCCCCTCTTCCCAGCTTTAAGAGTAAGAGCACTGAATTAAAGTATCGGCGCTCGATTCAGCAGAGCATCGGGCGCCGTGGAACGCACTGGCGCTCGCAAGGGGTGCCGCGACCATGCGTCGATTTCTTGGCATCGTTGTGCGCGGGGCATCAAGCGCAAGTCCGCACGGAAGCGCAGAGCATGTGCTTCAAAAGTTCCCAGGGCACGCAGCAGGGTGACTCATTGAGCAGTTTGATAATCAACGCATTGTGGGAAGATGTGTCCACACAGTTCAGCACAAGTGTTTGGCACAGCCGCGAAGACTCATATTGTTTTCATTGACAGGTCCCTTTCGACCACTTTGCGATTCGCAGGCGATGTGCTCCTGCTGGCTGCCACATCGCTTTGACAAGTCACGAAATGCTCAGTGGTTTGAGCAGGCTTGCTGACGCCGTTGGTCCATGACCTGTCACTCAGAGAAAACAAAGGTTTCCAGCAGCGCCACCAAAACACTGGAAAGGCACAAGCTGGGAATTTCAATCCATCAAGAGCAGAAACCTGGATTATACAACTGAGCGAGTCTGACTAGTAGTTGAGTCGCGTGGCCAGTTTCGTATACATGTGCGAGGTGCTCCCGCATGCATGGGCGGCGTTCATGTGTCACAGGGACGGGCGTGTGGACAACCTGTACGACTGTCGATGCTAGCTCCAGCGCGTTGTCTCCCCACTGGTATTTTGCATGCCGCCGTTGTGGATATGCACAAAGCCATTGCAGGACATGCTCGTGTGAGCCCAACCACGCATGTTGAGAATGGTATTCAGGGCTCCGAGAAGACAACTTACAGAGATAGCGGGTAGTGGAGTCAGCAATCTTGGCAGTGCTTCCGCGTCCAGGTCATACTTCAATGCTATTCTGGAATCTTGGTTCGATTGGGTTCAGCGTACACGTGAGGTGCACATCTGTGGTGTGCAGACGTGTACTGTTGAAGATCGGAGCGTGTCGAGGCGCAAATGGGAATGGAGCTTCTGCAGCTGGATTGGAACGCTGCCCGCCGACAGGTTGACTAGCAACATCTTGTCTTGGCAACCATGTGCGAATTCCAAAGCTCAGTGGCGCATGCCGCGCAGAATGCGTAAGTTGCGGAGTGACGGAACATCTGTTTGTTTGATTTCGTGGGGCGATTATGTTTCACCGAGCACGTGGGGGGCGCAGCGGCGAATCTTAATGCATGGTGCGGTTTGTTTGATCAGAATTGTCAGTTTTGAAGTTTCACGGAGCAGAGCTTCGGCATTTTTCCACCTTCCCCCTCAACAGGGCGGGTTTTGTTGCCTTGTAGGGTAGGGTAATGGTTTCGACTCCGATTCCGATTCGGAGTCTCCCGTTACCTCCCTCTTACCACGTTCCCTATTTTTGCAACTCCCCGTTATCCCTCCTCCTCCCAGCCTCTCCTCGTCCGCTCGTCATTCCCCTTCTTCCACGCCGCCCTTCCTCTCACCCCCTTTCCGCTGACGGCTTCTTCTCCTGGTCGTCGTCTTGCTTCTTCCTGTTCCTCGTTCTACTGTTCTGCCTCCCGATGCTGCTGCTCCTCCTCCTCCTCCTCGTGGTCCTCCCTCCCTTCTCCCCCTTTCGCTCAATCGAGTCGCGTTCCCAAACCTGCCGTCGTTGCCCTCCCTCTTCGCCCCCTTCTCAGGTTTACACCGTGGGTGGCAACGAGTGGGGCCAGTGCGGCGTGCGACCGCCCCGGCAGAAGGCGCAGGGTGTGTGTGTGGGGGGGGGGACGGGGGGGGCAAACGGGTCAGTTGTGAGCTGGAGGAGGAGGAGGAGGAGGAGGAGGAGGAGGAGGAGGAGGAGGAGGAGGAGGAGGAGGAGGAGTAAAGAGGAGTAAAGAGGAGGAGGAGGAGGATGAGGAGGAGGATGAGGAGGATGAGGAGAGAGGAAGAGGAGGAGGAGGAGGACGAGGAGGAGGAGGACCAGTGTAAACCCAAGAGTCATCAACGATGTTGGAATGAACCCTCCCTCCAAGCTCCGTCCTTCTAGGCCCCTACAACGGTTCATTTCCATTGAGGGAACTGCCACGTTGGAAGGCAACCGTTTGAAGACCTTGAAGCATTCCAAAACATTGTTATCGGGATTCCCACGCCACGGATCAACCTGACTGCTGCGTCCTGACGACTTGGAATCGTGCCAGAACCCCATTTTTGGGACTTCAGCACAGCGAATCAACATAACTGTTGCGCTCGCATAATCCTGAATCCTTCCAAAACACAATTTCTGGCACGATGATGATGGGAATCCGAGAAGCCCTTGCAACATTTGAAAACGAATTTGCGCGGCGTCAACGCGAGAGCCACACTTTGAAAAGGAACCGCCCTCAATCCGTGAAGCTCTTGCCATCTTTAAAACAAGTGTGCGCGGCGCTAAGGCGAGAGCAACATTTTGAAAACGACCCGCCCTCAATCCGTGAAGCTCGTGCACATGTTTCAAGCGAATGTGCGCGGCGCCAAGGCGAGAGGCACATTTTGAAAACGAACCGCCCTCAATCCGTGAAACCCCTGCAAGTTTTTCAAACGAGTGTGCGCGGCGCTCAGGCGAGAGCCACATTTTGAATACCACCCGCCCTCCATCAGTGAAATTGTAGCATTTTTTTAAGATCGAGTGTGATACATGGCGAGGACGTCTCAGGCGAAACGCCCGGGCCGCTCTAAAAACTTGCCTCGGGGTGCGACATGGATAAGTTGTTTATAAGGACAAGGAATGGAGGAGGATGAGGAGGAGGAAGGATGCGGCGGACGAGGAGGAGGAGGCCGAGGGGGAGGAGGAGGAGGAGGAGGAGGAGGAGGAGGAGGAGAGGAGGAGGAGGAGGAGGAGGAGGAGGAGGAGCAGGAAGATCAAGGGAGCATGCGGAGCAGGCAATCTGGCGACCTGCGCCCCGCCTGCCAGGGTAGAGAGCCCCCTGTCTTTAGGTCACCCGGTGGCAGTGCCAGAGTAGAGGAGGGAGGAGGCGAGGCGATGATGATGAATTGCGGTGAGTACGGTTGTCATTATGACGTCGATCGTGATCGTATGGTCAACCCGGTCTTGATAATGACGATGGATATGAGAGTTCTGACGACGACGATGAGGATGAGAATGATGGTGATGACGATGATGATGCTGATGATGATGATGATGATCATGATAATGGTAATGATGATGTTGTTGTTGATGATAATGATGATGATGATGATGGTGGCGTTGATGATGATGCTTATGATGAGGCCGGTAACGATGATGGTGATGATGGTGTTACGGATGATTCTGACGACGACCACGATTGCGGTGGCGATGAAAGTGCTCGTGGTGGTCATGCTGTTGACAGTGCCAGTGGCATTGGCTACGAAGATGATGATGATGATGCTGATGATGATGATGATGATGATGATGATGGTGGCGATAAAGGTGATTGTGATGGTGATGATGGTGATAGTGATCAAGACGTCTCAGATGATGGCTATGATTGTGGTAGTGATGATGGTGATGATGGTGACGATGCCATTGGCGATGATGCTATAGTTATGGTGATGATGACGATGGTGGTGGAGATGGTGATCGTGGTGATGATGGTGATGATGATGGTGGCTGCGGAGGCGGTGTGGGTGATGATGCTGCTGCTGGTGATGATGCTAGTGTGGAGTCGGCGATGACGACGACGACGACCATGATGACGATGATGATGATGATGATGATGATGATGATGCTGATGATGATGATGTTGCTGCTGATGATGCTGATGATGATTATGATGATGCTGCTGATGATGATGTTGATGATGGTGGTGGTGGTGCACGCGATTAGGTTCATGACAGTAATGGTACGGATGATGGTGTTCACGAAGCGATGAGCACGATGATGGTGATGAATGATGGTGGCGGTGGTGATGATGTTGATGGTGGTGGTGGTGATGCTGCTGATGCTGACGATGAGGAGGAGAAGGAGGATAATGAGGAGGAACACCAGAGGTGGTACAGGAATTGTTCTGAGGACGGGGAAGCATTACCGTGTTGTTGGATGGTGCACATGACGGTGACCATGCTGATGCTGATGCTGCTGCTGATGATGGTGGTGGCGGTGGTGGTGATGGTGGTGAGGATGATGATTATGATGATGATGGTGCTGATGATGCTGATGATGATGCTGATGATGCTGATGATGTTGATTATGATGATGCTGCTGATGTTGTTAATGTTGCTGCTGATGATGATGCTGATGATGCTGATGCTGATGATGATGATGATGCTGATGCTGATGCTGCTGATGATGATGACGATGATGCTGCTGCTGATGATGATGATGGTGGTGATGATGATGCTGACGATGATGTTGATGTTGATGTTGATGTTGATGATGATGATGATGATGATGATGATGATGATGATGATGATGATGCTGATACTGATGCTGATGCTGCTGATGCTGCTGATGATGATGATGTTGTTGCTGTCTACGGTGGTGGTGGTGGAGGTGGTGGCTGTGGCGATGGTAAGGAGGAGGAGGAGGAGGAAGAGGAGGAGGAGGAGGTCGAGGAGGATGAGGAGCAGGTGGAGGAGTCTTGGAGTCTTGTGTGTAGGAGGCTGGAGGTCAGAGGGGAGGAGGATGAGGAGGAGGAGGAGGATGAGGATGAGGATGAGGATCAGGAGGAAGAGGAGGAGGAGGAGTAGGAGGAGGAGGATGAGGAGGATGAGGACACATAAGAAAATAATAACAGGAGGGAGGAGGAGGAGGAGGAGGAGGAGGAGGAGGAGGAGGAGGAGGAGGAGGAGGAGGAGTGATTGAAAGAGAGGGAGGTGTGTGGTGTGTGTGTGTGTGTGTGTGTGTGTGTGTGTGAGAGTGTATATATCTATCTATCTATATAGATGTATGTATACACATAAGATACACACATGTATGGGAGATCCTGGCCCAGGGGTCCTGGGCGGGCCCCTCCCTTGTACATTCTTGCCGCCCCCCGGGCTTTTCTCTTCGAGGCCCCCGAGGCTCCCGGACCGCCCGAGAGCACTGCAAGAGCGCCTCGGATAACTTCCAGGCTGCCCAAGAGGCCTCGAGGACGCCACGACAGAGGCCCAAGAGCGCTCCGAGACGCCCCAAGATGGCTTCGACAAGACCAAAAGGCCACCCAAGAGGGCCCCAGGAGGCCAAAATTGCCCCATTTGCGACGGAAAACGTCAGTTTTTATCATGTTCGCTTTTTCAGACCTTAATGGAGTCCAAGACGGCCCAAGAGGCGCCGGAGGGGGCCCCAAGACGGCTCCAGAGGGCCCCACAACGGCCCAAGTGGGCTCCCAGGGGGGGGCCAAAATCAGTGCCTTCGGTTCGCAGTGGGGTCCTGGCGGGCCTCCGCGCTCCAAAAGGGCCTTCCAGGGGGCCCGAAGGCACCGAGAGGAGGGGCCCCCAAGGGGACCAGAAAGGACCACAGCGCTCCCAGCACGCCGACCATTGCTTCGAAACCGCTCACGTGGCCTCGACGACGCCCCCAGAAGGCTTCCAGCTGATCCCCGGGGGAGGCTCCGGGTGCGAAAATCATTGATGTCCCCACGGTTTTTCAAAGATTTTCGTGTGCTCGCCTGCCCCGCTGCTCGACGCCCGGAGACGGCACAAGAGGCGCGCAAGAAGGTCCCAACCTAGAATCGCCCCAGTGGGCACCGGGCCGCCCCCCAAATGAGCTCAAATGAGCAATGGCCCCAGACGAGGCCCTCAGGGCCCCCAGACGGCCCCAGCACGCCCATCATTGCTCCGATGCGGGCTCAGGCAGCCTCCGAGGTGCACCAAGAGAGCTTCAAGCTTATCCCCGAGAGAGGCTCCAGGGGTGAAAATCATGAATTTCCCATGAGTTTTTCAAGGATTTTTTTGTGCTCGCCTGCTCCGCTGCCCGACGCCCAGAGACGGCACAAGAGGCGCCCAAGAAGGTTCAAGACACCCAGAGAGGGCGCAAAGACGGCCTAAGACCAAGAGGCGCCCGAAATCGCCCCAGATCTGGGCGGCCCCCCAAATGAGCTCGGGCACGTTACAGGGGCCCAAAACGGCCCCAGCACGCCCGTCATTGCTCCGCTGCAGGCTCGGGCAGCCTCCGAGGCATACCAAGAGGGCGTCAAGCTAATCCCTGAGAGAGACTCCAGGTGCGAAGATCATTGATTTCCCGAGCTTGTTCATGGATTTTCGTGTGGTCGCCTGCTCCGCTGCCCGACGCCTGGAGACGGCATAAGAGGAGGCGCCCAAGAGGGCTCGAAGACACCCGAAGCGGGCGCCACGTCGGCCCAAGAGGCGCCTAGAATTGCCTCAGAGGGCTCCGGGCGGCCCCCCACATGAGCTTGGACACGTTATGATGACCCTAAACGAGGCCCTCAGGGCCCCAAACGGCCTCAGCATGCCCGACATCGCTCCGATGCGGGCTCAGGGAGCCTCCGAGGCGCCCCAGGAGGGCTTCAAGCTCATCCCCGAGACAGGCTCCAGTGGCGAAAATCGCTCATTTCCCGTGTGTTCTCCAAGGAATTTCGTGTGGTCGCCTGCTCCGCTGCCCGACGCGCGGAGATGGCATGAGAGGCGCCAAACTGGGCTCCAAGACACCCGAAGCGGGCGCCAAGACGGCCCACGAGGCACCCAAAATCACCCCAGAGGGCTCCAGGTGGCTCCCCAACTGAGCTTACGTAGACAGGCCAAAAAAGGGTGGTCACGGAGGCCCACAATGCTCCAAACCTACCCTTGCACGCCCTCCATC